GGAACAGAACTCAGTGCTTTGGGACTTCATTTGAGGATGACTCACACACCTTCATTTTCTGCCTTCTTTCTGTTTCCTCAGCAAGGAAAGACACAAGATAGAGGCTTTGCTCGGGTCCCTTTGCCAGGCCTTAGTAGAGTGCATCCATTGGGCAGGGTTTCTCATGGGCATTTTGTGGCCTTTGAGCCCAACCCAAGGGCGGCTGTCTGTAGGGGGGGGGCACAGAGCCCCTCAGCCTGTCAGCAGAGGCCAGGAAAATGACCAGTCGCATTCCTTTCGCTTCCCTCTCAACCACTTGGCTGTGTTCCCTCTTTACTCTCTAGTCTTCTCTCTCAGCGTTTCTCGACAGAGCCAGAGGCACCAGGAGATTGAGGAAAAAATTTACTGGGCTTTGGGTCAGGCAGAACTGGACACACCACCCAGGTGACATTTTTTCTTGCATGTACCTTTGGTCAAACGTGTCAGAGTGCCTGCACAGCTGGGAGGGGCGCAGGGCACCTTGCACACCCTGCCCCCTGCATCTTCTCAGAACTGTGAAGGTGGTGGTATTGTCCCAGTCTTGCAGTGGAGAAAACTGAGGCTTAGAGAAGCAGATTTTAAATGTGCAAGGCATAAGTTAGAGAAATGCTAAGGAATGGACTGAAAAGGATCCACCTTTGGGGGAACATGGTAGAGGAGAAATGGATGAGAAAAAGATTTGAGGGCGGGGCTCAGGTCACATGGGCTCAGGGGGGATCTGGATTCTGATGACCTGGGAAATCTTGGCAAGTACAGTAGTAACCAGCCTGGGAGCCTCCGCGCGTGTCAAGTGGGGTAGTTACATCTTTACTTACAGAGTTTTAGGAGTATCAAAAGAAAGTGTTTATGGAATGTTCTGAGTGTGTGTGATGCCCTGTAAAGTGTGGCTTTCCAGGGAGGCCTAGGCTTCAGGAAGGCCAGTGCCGCTGGGCCACACCCCTGTACAGAACGGAGCACAGTGAGGGGAGAGGATTGCTTATGAAGAGTGAGAGGGGCAGAGTGAAAAGCATAGGCCAAGACTGTCCTTCGGGCCAGCACACCGTAGCTAGTGATTGCAGATCACATAATCTCTCTGAGCCTCAGTTTTCTTATCTGTACAATGGGACTGATAAGGGATTAGACAACTATTAAATGGCATGAACTGATAGTAAGTCAGGAGGGTTGAAAATAGCATGAAAGGACCAACCAGATAGCTCAATGGACAAAAGTGCCTGCTGCAGCAGAGCATAGGTGTCGGGGTTCAGTCCCCAGCGTGCTGTGCCACGCTGAGATGGTGATTGAGACTGGGCGTGGTGACGCACACCTCTAATCCCAGCACTTGGGAAAACAGGAGAATCATTACAAATCAGGTAGTAAGACCCTGAACACCTTGTAGACCCTGTGCTAAATTCATTTAAAAAAAAAAAAAAAAAGATAGCATGGAAAAAGAACTGGGTAATTTTGAAACAAAAGGCTTGAATAGCAATTTTCATATTAGACAAAATAGAGTATAAGTTAAAGATAAGGGCAGGGAAGGATGTTCTATGCTTGGAAAGGTATAATCATGGTCACCCCTGTATTGTGTTGCACAATATAAACTTGAAATCTAGGTCAACAGCTGACACAAGGAAGGAGATTAACCAACAGTGGGGCTTGGAAATGCTAATGTAGCTCTCTTTGAAAATGATAAGCAAGGACCAAGTGAGGATGCTATAACTTGGTCACACCTGAGACAGTCACAGAACTTAATCATGGACCAGGTCACAGAAAAGAACCTATCAATGTAGTCCATCTTTGTTCAAACTACCAAGAAATGAAATTAGGAAACAGTAATAAATAGAAAGCTATAGAAATCTCACATGTCTAGATATTTTTAAACATTGCTATTTAAAAACATGTGAAGAGGAAGTCATAATGGAAATTAGAAAAAACCCCAGCAGAATAACAATGAAAATATGTGAAGACTGGAAGAATTTATAACTTTGAACTTATCATAAAACAAAAATTAAGTATGAGTGGTTATACTCTGAGACTCATGAAGTTCAACTCTCAGATCATAAAAAAGCAACAGAGTTAGTTGGAAGAAATAAGGAAGGAAATGAATATTAAAATGAAAATATTTTATCTTTTGTTAGTGTGTATTTGTGATACATAATAGTTACCTTTGTTTTGGAGAATCATGTCTGTCATGTCATGGTCATTTTTGGTTCCTTTGTTCCCCTCCTACTGTCCCCCTTCTTCATTTCCTCATCTCCAAAGAAACCAAGTGCTTGCCTGGCAGGCGCAAGGGCCTGAGTTCAATCCCCAGTTCTGCCAAAAAAACCCCAAAACCCACAAAGAAGCCTGCCACACTGCCCTACCATCTCACTTTTATTTTACTCTGAATAATGTTTTTAAGATAAAGGAAGTGGGGAAGAAACTTAAGCACCACCACCCAAAGCTGGTTCTCTGAAAAGGCTGATATAGTAAGTAACGCCTTGGGCAAAACAGTTCATGAAAAGATAAAGAACAATGTAGGATGAAAAAGTGACAGACAAAACGAGCGATAATACATTAGAAATAGTAAAATATTATATACAACTACATCAATAAATTTGAAAACCTAGATAAGATACAGTCCTAGGAAAAGAAATACTAAAATTACCACAATAGAGGATAAATAGCCCTTCAGTACACCATAAACCCCAGTGGTATTCAGTGGAGAGGTGGTGATTGCCTACAAAGCCTCAGACCTCAACGGTTGTGTGAATATACTAAATTCCATGGATCATATGATTTCTGTATTTAAATGTTACTGCACAAGCTAGATTAGGGAAAGCTGTCCCATTTTCTTTATAATTTATTATAAGGTCTGTCTACCAAAACCTGTTAGGAATTTTATAGGAACAGAGATTTTAGGCTGAATCACAGTCCTATAAAACCTAGGTAGATACCAGGCTAGCTAAATTTATTACATCAAAGTGAAGTTTATCCCAGGGACAAGAGATGGCTCTGCGTCAGGAGGGAAAGGGGAATAAGTTACAATTTCCCAGGAGTCTGAAGAAATCCTGAATGAAGTTCAGTGCCCATTCACAATAAAGTCTTGGGAAAATACAAATTAAAAAGAACTTCCTCAGTCTGAAAGATAATGTCCAAAATTTACACTGAAAATGTGTTTTGCAGAAAAGCTTTAGGAGCCACCCTTGGAGGTAGGAGACCAGAGATGCTCACCATTACAGAGATGCTTGCTGTTACCCTTGCTGCTTGGCATAACACCAGAGGTTCCGGCTGAGGAAGTAGAGAAAGAACAAACAAACAAAAAATAGATAAAAGCAGGGAGCAAAAAGTAAAAGTTATTATTTGGAGATGATAAATATATATAAATAGAAGAATCAGGGAACAATTAGAACTTTTAACAAATTTTAGCGAAGTGCTCAGAAAAAAATAACTTCAAAAATCACAAAGTAGTAAAAGTACAGGACTTTTTTTAAACAGAGCCTGCCTCAGGTGGACCCCAGGCCCCCCCAGGGGTCACAATAGTCCTTTTGTTTTTACATCAGCAGATAAGAGGCTTTTACTGTGGAACCTTCACAGGGGGCTAGACACCTTTGGGAGCCTGGGCTGGGGCAGAAGCTGGAGCCTGGGCCTTGGCTGGAGCTTGGGCCTTTGGCCGGCAAGGCTTGTGACCCTTGGCAATGTGGGCATGTAAACACTTCCCAAGCATGGGGTGGGCAATATAGGCAAGTCTAGCAATCTGTGGTTTACTCCCTTAGGAATGATCTTGGGCTTGACCTCCTTGGGCTTGACGAGAACCTTGATAGCCTCGGCGCGTGCATTCATGGCCTTGGCATTGTTTGCTTGCATCTTCTTGAAGCCCTTCTTGTGCTTCTTGGCAAAATGTATGTTCCTAAGGACCTTGTGATCTACCCCCTTCAGAGATTAGTATCTTTGTGACCGGGGTTTCTTGATGCCATTTCTGTGCCATTTTTGGGACTGGCTGTGCATGGTGTGGTTCTTGGACATGACCATAACTGCACTGTAAATTGCGGCTTCCAAGTGCCTTGAACTGGAAGAAGTAGTACAGGACTTTTATAGAAAACTAAACATATCAAATACCATACAAGGTGAATAAATAAAAGGAAATACTCTGCTCCTGGATGTAAAACTTCATGTTATAGAAGTGTCAGTATTTATATGGAAACTAAATATCAACTGTTATACTTAGGATCTGAAATAGCCCCCAAAGCTTAGGATCTGAAATGGCCTGCAAAGCCCTGTATTAAAGGGCTGGTACCCACCCACGTTACTGTGAGGGGTGGACCTGTAGGAGGTGTGGCTTTTTGGAAGGCATGTAGGTCACTGGGAACATGCCCTGGACCCTCTCCCCTTTCTGTTTTTAACTCTGCTACTTACCATGAGCTAAGCGTGTTGCTCCCTCTTGAACCACAGTGTTTTCTCTCACCACAGGCCCTAAAACAATGGGGGTGAGCAATCATTGACTTACACCTGTGAAATCAAGAGCCAAAAGAAACTTCCTCCTTATAAACTCACCTTATCAGGTATTTTGTCACAGTCTTGCAAAGCTAACAGATCTGTTACCCAAATGAATTTGAAAATGAAAAATAAAAAAGGGAATCACCCTACCCTAGATCATTTTGCAAAAACATAGTCATTAAAACAGTGTAGTACAGAGGAACAACAGGCCGATGGAGTGAAAGCCAGCCCAGGAACACCAGCACACATGCAAGAAGCTGATTTGTGAGTGAAATATCTTCACAAGTGAGTAAAAGATAGACTTTTGTTGTCATTGTATGTGTTGGTAGAAAATTACCTTAGAAGTATATATACAGAGAAATAAAGTCATATCCATCTCTCATCCTATTAAAAATTCCAGAAATAATAAAATTTTAATTTAAAGATAAAATCTTAGGGCAACTGAGAATTTGGAGTGGAGAAGCTTTCTTTTTTTATTTTTTATTCATTTTAATGAGAAAAAAGATAAAACAGCAATGAAATAGTTTCAAAAAAATATGGAACACTTCACGAATTTGCATGTCATCCTTCACAGGGGCCACGATAATCTTCTCTGTATTGTTCCAATTTTAGTATATGTGCTGCTGAAGCGAGCACAGGAAGCTTTCTTTAGCAAGACAAAAAAGAAGAGAGACCAGTTTTGATGGAAAATCAGACTGACCAGCCTGTCTGTGTCAAATCGGAAAACACTAATGATGAGTAGTTGTTTCTAAGTTTCAGTCTCTGTGATGTCTTTCCTGTTCCACACTTACTGGGGTCAGTCACAAGAATGTGGCCAGGTCTTGTGGGTCACCTCACTGTGGTGGTGAGGTGACAGCAGGCGCTGAAATTTGGGCAGAGAGTGACCTGCAGGCGCCTGCACGGAGCCTTGACAATTTCTTATTTTTTTGGATTGAATTGCTTCTCTTTTCGGGGGTTCAGACTTGTCTGTGGAGGCTCCTCTTAGTGAGGAGTCACTGATACCAGTCTGGGAGACCAAAAGAGACCACAAAAACTGAAGTAGTCAGGCTTGATTGTTCTGTTGCTGCCCACACTTCCAGGGTGACATGGTTATCCTAATGCAGGGATGGCTGGTCCTTGATTCCTCACAACCAGCCTTGACTGAGCTCCAGAATCATGCCAGGAGCTCATTAAAGCTAAGTCATGGGGCCCCACCCCGATACGCTCTGATTCAAGAGGCATGAGGCACACAGCTCAGGAATCTTCAACTGACCAGCTCCTAGAGTGGCCAGGGCTGGACCTGCCAAGCGGGATCACCTTTCCAGGGACTAGAGTCAGAGCCACTCAGTTCCTAAAGATGCAGAACCACCTGGGCTGGGATGTGAATGGATACGCAGCCGAGATGTGCCCAGGCAGGACGGGAAGTGCAGGGGCTTGGCATGGAAAGAGGAGGCCTGCCCAGCCAGCAGCTCAGGCATGCACGGAAGGACACGGCCCTGAGGTTCCTGCAGGAATCAAACTCTCCTGAGATGTTTGCTTCCCCTGCCTTGGCCCTGATCCCCCACAACAGTGGTCTCTTCCCCCATCTGCCTCCTTCACCAGTACGTACCCTGACACCCATGTGCCAGGAGCAGGCTTGATGGGGCACATGGGCTGATCAGCCCTCTGGGTGCTTCCAGTCTGGAAGGGAAAGAAGCAGCGACACCAAGAGGCTGTGGTGAGCTGTATGAAGCACTGTGATGGGGAAGCTTCAGATACCCAGAGGGATACCTGTCTTTGTGTGGCTGACCTGGAGAAGCTCCCTGGAAGATGTGAGGTCCGAGATGGCAATGAGTGAAGCAGTCAGAGGGAGGAGGAAGACTGTTTTGGACCCAGGGAATAGCATGGACAAGAACCTGGTGGCACTGGGAACGGTCAAGGAGGCTGGGCTGTGGAGGGTCCTGAGGGTGAACGCCTCTCCAGGCCTAGGTGCTGGAGCTGCTACTGTAGCGCGTGGGAACAATGAAAGGGTCTCATTTCCTCTTTCCTGGCTCCTTCTTGGGACCCGGCCTAGGGCGCTGGAGAGAATGTGTGGAGATTGGTGTTTCCTCCTGCCTGAAAGGACTGGCTGACCTGGGCTTGTGCCCTTCCCCCCAGTGCTGCTTCCCCTGGGCTGGGCCAGCTCCCTTCACAGGGAACCAGGCAGGATTTTCCCTTAGCATCTTAACTTCTCTGAGTTAATATAGGTCACTATGCAGAAGTAGGGAAACTGAGACTGGAGAATGGCATAGTGCCTTGGGAATCTCCTCTAACTCAAGAGAGTCAAGAAGTGTGATCCTAGGAGACTTCAGTTGCCCTGTCCCTGCTTTGAGAGTAGCTCTCTGGGGCAGGTGTGAGCTGAGCCCTCAGGCCAACCCCAGAGCCTGCCCATGCTGCCCGGTACCTAGTGGGGATGCAGGAGACGTGTGACCTGCATGGTCACATGTGCCCGGTCCCTGGATGTGAGTGTCCTCAGGCCCCAGATGCGGGGGCAAGTCCTTCCCGCATTTAGGTGGCCATAGGCCCATGGTCAGTATGGTCTCAAGCTGGCCCCATGCTCAAGGGACTTCCATGAGTGTCGTCATTGCCACCATTTATTTTACTGACCTTTGTTTTGTGCCAGACACCCTGCATACCCACTCCTATGTCGCTCAACCTCCTTATAAAAACTTCAGAGAGGAGAAACTTAGCAGGAGCCAGGGAGGAGAGCAGGCGCCTCCCCAGAGGCAGCCCCCCAGTTGCCATTGAGAATGTTAGGTAATCACCAATAGTAGGTGACGTTTCCTAATGTTTTTCTTTCCACATAGCTAATTTATGCACTTAGCAGTTTTCTACAGAAACTATTATTTGTCTCATTAAAATGAAGAGGATGGAATTTACAAGGAAGAAACATAGATGCCATGGGTAGGGGGGTTCCCTTTGGCAGGGAAGCCTTCTCCCTCTCCCCATCGGACCTCCCATAACAGGGAGCCAAAAAGGGTCAAAGCTGCAGGGAGTGTCATGCACCAGGCCTCTTCAAGTCAAGGCAGGCCCAGAATTGCCCACACATGTGCCTTCCAGCCAGGAGTCGGCTGGTGTTGTGCAATCCATGCCCATGTTGGTGCTGCTTGTTCACCGCCTGCCCCACCAGAGGTGCACTCCTTGAGGGCAGGGTTGGTTGGGTCTCTGGGACCAGGTGCCCAGGGGGTGCCAAGAGCATCCTTGTGACCTTTGTGGGGACAGGTGAGGAGGCTCCGATGGGTAGAGTGGGAGCATGCCAGGCCACCTGGCCAGACTCTCCAGGCCGCTTGCTTGGTTTTCAGGGCTCATGGCTATGTCTAAATCCCTCTCCGGGCTTCTGTTCCTAGATCCACTTCCCGGATATGGAGCGAGTCGAGTGGGCCAACAAGGTAAGGCCACAGGTAGCGTCTGGTGGGTGCAGACTTCAACCCTGCTGAGACCTGGCCCACAGGCCATCTGCCAAAGCCCTCCTGCCTGTGGCTTGGGCCAGGGTCCTCAGTCCCTGCAGTGCCCATGCTGGAGGAGGAAGGATGGCCCTGTGCTGCTTGGGTGGCAGCTTGCACCCTCCCTGTATTCACCAAGAAGAAGAGTGTGGCTTTCTTCCCTCAAACAAACAACAAAAACATATACATGAATATAATCTCCCCACAGAGGAAAGGTTAGAAAATAGATGTATAGAGAAAAGAGCAGCTTTCCACTGGCTCTCCAGCCAAAATCAGCACCTTTGTAGTGAGAGGAAGAGGAAGACATTGATTAGACAACAGCTCTGGCTTCCGCCTGTTCCCAGCCCCGAGGCACCGCCACTGCCTGTGCAACCTCCAGCAGCTTGCTTAACATCTCTGAGCTGGTTTCCTTATCCATAAAATGGAGGTAATTATGATTCCTGCCCTGGCACATGGTGAATATGGAAGCTATTACTAGTCATTGTTATGAGTGCCAAAATGTCCTCCAGGGGAACTCCCCTTGCACTCCGGTACCAGATGCCCAGAAGGTGTCGCCTTTGGCTCTCCCCGAGCAGGAACCCCCACTTCAGAGTCCTGTCCCTGTCTAGCCTGCCCCCACCCATGAAGGGTCCCCTAGAGCCCCCACTGGCAGTCTTCTCCTGACTCAGGACTTCAGTGCAGCCTTTGCCTCTGCTTAGCCCCTAGCAGGAAGGACTTACATTAGGTAGAAGAAAGGACTTCCAGCAGTTGTTGATCTCAGGTTGGTATCTTACATTCCCAGAAGTATCCTCGCCAGCATACCAAAAACTGTCCCAGGCCTCTGGGGAAAATGTGGGGGAAGGAGGTTGCTGCTTTAGGAGCTGTACCCAGGCTCCTGTGGGTCAGTGCAGCATCCAGGCCCCCTGGGGCAAATCCCGTAGAGTTCCTCCTGTGTGGCCAGTGTCACTGCCTAGGTTCCATCTTCCCCAAGCGAGTGACACAGAAGTGCTGAGGGAGGGATCTGTTGGGATGAAGCCCCACCTCACCTTGGACAGAGAGGTTGGGCAGGTAAACTACACGCAGGTGCACTCCAGAGGCCCTGGACAGTGACCTGCTGGTGAGGCAGGAGGGTGGGACCAGCTCTAGAGACTCAGCACCTGGGGTTTGAAGAGGCCTCAGAGTTGGGAAGGAGAGTGAGCCCTGAAATCTTGTACCCATGGGCTCCTCCAGTTAGGACTTTGGAAGACAAGAAAGGCAGAAAAAGGTGCATCTTTAAACTGAGGCCCGAGCCCGCAGAGGAGGGTGGGGGAACCAAAGCAGTCTGGCCAGCAGCCTTGCACACCCCTCTGATTCCCATCATCCACTGCCTCTGTCTCTTCTTGCTAGAACAGAAAAGGGATGTAAGTGGTCAAAATAAAACCTAAATAGCCTATAGATGTGTTTAAAATGCAGCAGTGTTAATTTCTTAGTTTTGATCATTGTATATTCATGCACTGTGTCATAGTGCTTCCATCAACAACAAACCACAAACCTAAGACTATAATGGAGCCAAGAAATTCTGATTTTGTAGTACTTGTGTTGTGCCTTTTCAGTTTAGATACACAAATACCCTTGTGTCACAGTTGCCCACAGCACTCAGCACAGTGACGTGGCATTACGGGTATGTTGCCTGGCGGTGGCAGGCCATGCCCACTAGGATAGTGTAGGTATACTCGATGTTCACACAGTGACAGAATCACCTACCCCTACATCTTTCAGAATGGTGCCCCGTAGCTAAAGGACACCTGACTGGGTTGTGTTATATAAGATGCTGATTGATATTCAGGGAAACTGGCCTGCATGTTCCCAGACTAGCACCTAGAGTCATTCTGCTACAGAACTTGGCCAAAGGCTGCCTTTTCTGACTGCTGAAATTTATGTCCACAGCCAACAGTTTAACTTTTCTGTAACTTTTTAAAAAATCTTTGGCATCTGCTACATTTTATGTAAACTGCAGTGTAGGATAAAATTATGCACCATCGGGCTTCCTACTGTTGAATTTAGTGAATGAGCATTTCTATGGTACTCTGCAGAATGGCCCCAAGCCTTGGGGTCCTGGATATTTGAGAGACAGGTAGGTGGGTGGAAGGGGACAGTGTGTACTGCAGCATAGGGGCTAGGGGACCCCAACCCTGGGCCTGGGTGACAGACTCAGGACTGTGTCCTGGGCAGTTGCAGGTCTGCAGCACAGGGGCAGACCTGACACCTGAGGGCCTCTTCCTGTCCATTTTAGATCATTGCCCAGATTTGGCCCTTCCTGACCATGATCATGGAAAACAAGGTTCGGGAGAAACTGGAGCCCAAGATCCGGGAGAAGAGCACTTGCCTGAGGACTTTCACCTTCACCAAGCTCTACTTTGGACAGAAGGTCAGTGCTACTTTGGGAAGGTCAACCTGGGCTTACTGTGCAGCCTCTTCTCTCTTGCGGTCCTCTTGCCTCCCCCTTACCCAAGTCATCGAGTCATTCACCTAACAGCATAGATCCCACCAGACCTCTGAGGGGCTTGACCTCTGCTCTGAACTTCCCAGTTGGGTGCACAGCCCTCACCCCCCTGCTGTCACAGCACCCTCTCTCAAGGTTCCCAGGAGCCTAGGGCAGGGCCTAGAAAGGAGAGGCGGCAACTAGTTCCTCCCTTCTTAAGGATATTTTTGAAGCCAGGCCTCGTCAGTAGCCAGACAGCTACAGGATATTTCTCTACACATGTAGTTGCTCATTTAGGTGTTCAGTGGGACACGTCTTCCTGCATGATTTATGACAATACCATAAAGCAGTTTAGAATTCTCTGAAGGATTCTGGCAGTCAATAGAGCCAACATGAGTGCTGTGAAAACAACTGGTGGTGGACAAACCAACACCAGTGGTTGTCCCTGGATAAGATTGTCCATGGCCAAAGAGACATGTGTCCAGCATACTTAATGTTAGGGCCCCTCTCTGGACAGAGCTTGGCATTTTGCCTTCTGTGCCCTACTCCTTTGGCCCTGCTGTGCTCATCGATCTAAGTCTTTTTTTTTTTTTTTTTCAAAATTTTATTGATAAACAGCAATGAGACAGTTTCAAATCAAATCGGAAGTACAGTTTCAACAAATAATACACTGCATATATTCTTCTTAGTGGTTAATTGCTGTACAAGATGCGGACTTGAGATCCTATTTACAAACATCATTAGAACAAATCATTCTATTCATTAAGAGAATGCAACTATATATCTATCCTAACGATCTAAGTCTTATTTTAATTATGCAGAATCCATCCCCAGGCATGTGGCAACATTGACTGCTCAGGAAGTCAGAGGGACTGGCATGCAGTGTGCTGTGGAACAAGCAGGGGTCAGAGTGCAGCCCAGCCTGCTGAGAGCTGCCGCCACCCTGCCTGGCAGCCCTGTGGGTTGGGTGGATCGGGTCCGCCTCAGCCCTGGAGAGGTGGGTTTGTGCCAGGACTGATGAGGCCGGCCTCCGTGGGCTCACCTCTTGCCGCCTCATCTCAGTCATAGATGACTGACTGGGCACATGCTGTGGGTTTGGCACCACAGGCCGAGTCAAGGGTGGCTGTGCAGTTGCTTCAGGAAGTAGGCGCGCAAACTACTGTGACGTGGTGCAGTCTGCCCGTGCGATGATGGAGGCATCTGTACATGTGTTCAGGAGCGGAGAGGTGTATGGGTTGAATTAGTCAGGGAAGACTTCCTGGGGGAAGTGGTGTGTGAGTAGACTTTTGAAGAATTCAGTAGGCAGAGTGCCAGGAAGCCTGCAGACTGTGGTGTTTGGAGCCACTTTTCTGCCAGTAGTGTCCAGGGGATGTGGCGTCACTGGCAAGGGATCACTGGGAGTAGTCTTTACCATGTCAAGAGAACCTATGGGCTGCAGGCTGCCCCAGTGGCCTAGCCGTGCAAAGGGAAAGAGCGTGCTTGGCCTTGCAGATGCCTCTCATCCTCCCCCTACCCTCTCTCTCATCTTCACCTCTGCCCCCCTCTCCGTTGTGGGCTCACAGCAAACTCCTGGAACCGCGCAGGCTCAGCTGGCACCCACGCATGTCCCAGCTCCCCTGGGCCACCAACATGACTGGGCTGAGCTCTATTTTCCTCATGGGTAAAGGGAAGCATATACTTCTGAAGAAGAAAAAGGTTTTGGTATCAGGCATTGAACTCATGACCTTGTGCTTGCCAGGCAGGTGCCCAAACAGGTGCCCAGGCAGATGCTGCGCCACTGAGCTAAATCCCCAGCCCTGAAAAATAGATTCTATCAGTGCCTACTAGTTTTACATGATACTGGGTTTCAGTGTGAGTTTTTATTCATGCATGTAATATACTGTATGTGATATATTTTGGTCATGTCCCTCCTTTAGGGACATTACCCTCCTTTAAGGGGGGGTATTATTACTCTCCTTTAAGGGGGAGCCCTCATTCGCCTGATCTTATCCAAGATTAGTCTCCCTGCTACTTTCATGCCATTTTTTTCCTCTGTCTTTCTTTAAAATCCCACACATTAGGGAAAACATTCAATGTTTGTCTTTGAGTCTGGCTTCTTTGCCGTAGCATGATCTTCAGTTCCGTCCATTTTCCTGCGAGGACGTAACTTGTTCATCTGTACAGCTGAACAGTACTCAACTTCCTTGATTGATTCATATGTTGAGGGCACCCAGGCTGGTTCTGAATCCTGGCTATTGGTGTGGACTGGGCTGCAATGCGCACGAGAATGCAGGCAGCCCCATAGGATGCTTTATTTTTTAAAGACTCCCTTATTTTATCATTAAAAAAAAAAACTTTTTTTTCATGGTGTGCTTTAAATCCTTTGGGCATGTACCAGGGGTGAGATAGCTGGATCATGTGTAGTTACTGGGCCAATTTACATTCCCATCAGCGGCCAAGAAGACCCCCATAAACTCCCAGCCTCACCAGCATTTGTTAGTTTTTGTGTCCTTGGCGACAGCCATTCTGACTGGGGTGAGATGCAGCCCCACTGTGGGTTTGACTAGTGTTTCTCTCATGGTTAAAGGTATTGAACATTTTGATGTACTGGTTGACTATTCTTCTTTTGAGGAGTGTTTGTTCAACTCAGTGGCCTGTTTATTGATTGGGCTGTGCAGGTATGTTTCTTTGTTTTTTTAGTTCTTTATATATTCTAGATATTAACCCTCTGTCTGAGGAGTAGCTAACGAAGATTTAGCCCTGTTCTGTGGGAGGTCTCTTCACTGTTGTTTCTCTCACTGTGCAGAAACTGTTTACCTCACTGCTATTCCATTTGTTCTTGTTTTCTGTGAGGATATAATTCTATTCAGGAAGACTTTCTATCTGTTGTGAGGACCAGATGTGGTCCCCTACCTCCAGCAGACAGATCAGACTGACAGCTGGAAGCAGCAAAAACAGGACATTTAATTTTCCAGATCTTGTAAGAACCGGGGCGCTGCCCTAACAGAATAGGCTGACACTGGAAGAGCCCTTCTGTGAGCTGTTTAACTCCTAGCACAGTCCCCTTCCCTCTCCTAGTGTGGTTTCCTTCCTCCCTTCCTCGTGGGGCTTGAGTCCTGAGGTGAGAGCGGACAACCTCCCGCTGGTGCTGAGCCCGTAGCCCACTCCCTCTGTAAACCTTTGTGGGTTTTAAAAGCATGTGATGGAACTACAGAAGATAGCTTCTTAACTGCCAGTGCTTTTGCTGTCAGAGTTAGCATAGTGAATTCCATACTTAGTTACGCTTCCCTCTCACATGTAGGGCCTCGGTCGCATCCTCAGGCTACCTGACCTTCCCCTGAAAATAGACCACTTTACAGATTTGTCTCTCACACCTATTATTTCAAGTGTTTCCACTTGTTTGATGCTTTCATCAGACGTGTAGCAGTTTCAGGTCTTTGACCCATTTTGAATTGGCTTAATACGGGACAAGAGATAAGGATCTAGTTTCAGTCTGCCACATAGGGGCATCCAGTTGTCCAGCGCCATTTGTGGAAGAGGCTGTCTTTTCTCCATCGCGGTTCTTGGCTCCTTGGTGCAGAAGCAGATGGCTGCAGTTGCATGGGCTTGTGTCTGTGTTCTCTGTTCTGTTCCCTGGTCCTCGTGTCTGTTTTTGTGCCACTACCACCCTGCTTTTGCTACTATGATTTTGTAATGTAATTTGAAGTCCGGTGTTGTGAAGCTTCCCTCCAGCCTTTTCACTCAGGAGTGTTTGGGTTATTCTGGATCTTTTGTGTTTCCATGTGAATTGTCATATATGGTTTTTTGTTTTTTTTTTTTTTTGTTTTTTTTTTTGTTTTTTTCTAGTTCTGAGAATATCATTAGAATTTTGCTGGAGATTGCATTGAAGCTATAGATGGTTTTCATTCAACTCATGAACATGGGAGGTCTTTCTACCTTCTCTATCTTCAGCTTCTTTCTCTAATGTTCTGTAATTTTTACTGTAGAGGTCTTTCCCCTCCTGGGCTACATTGATTCTAGGGGTTTTATTTTGTTTTAACTATTGTGATTGAATTGTTTTCTTGATTTCCTGCTCAGTTAGTTCTCTCTTGTATAGAAAAGCTATTGATCTTTTAATGTTGATTTTGTATCCTGCTACTTTTGCTGAATTTACCAGCTCTAAAACTTTAGATTAAGTCTTTTACAATCTCCAAATATAAGGATAATTTGACTTCTTCTATTTGTATGTGAAAAGGACTCGCTTTTTTTTTTTTTTTTTTGTGGCCTGCTCAGCTGGCCCTGGAGGCAGGGCTGGCCTGGGATGTGGTGCTGGGGATGGAAATACAGTGGCTGCTCTGGCCTAAGCTTGCCTAAGCAAGCACTTTAGACTGCTGAGCTATCTCGCTGGCCCAGGGCTTGCTTTTGAAGGTGACTCTGAGGCATGAACAGGCTTGGTCTCAGGGTGGCCTCTGGGAGCACTGTCTAGCATTGTGGACAGTAGATTCTTGCCTGCTGCCTATGCCCTGCAGTGAGCACAGGCCAGGGCCACCAGCCTGGATTGATTGACTTTTTCTCCAAAATTTTATTATCTAAAATTTCAAATGATTTATTTAGCAACTTAATTTATTGCTGTATTTGATTTATTACACATTCATGCTTTTCATCTTTTTTACCATTTGGATAGTCCTGGTGCTTATTGTTGTTTTGTTTTTTGTGGTACCAGGCATCAAACTCAGGACCTTGCACTTGCCAGGCAGGCACTTATGCCACTGAGCTATCTCTTGGCCCAGTGCGATTCATCTTTTTAAAAATGCATTTCAAACTGTATAACAGACCAGTGAACTTCACCCAACCACTTCCCTCCTCAGCAAGCATATCATTAACCTGGATTCAAATAATATTATTGTGACACTGAGATTTAAAGGAGGATTAAATCCAAGGCCTTTGCTCCAAGCTACATCCCCAACACTTTTTAAAATTTTTTATCTTCAGACAGCATCCTGCCAAACTTCTCAGTTGCCCAGGATGGGCTCAAACTTTTGATCCTCCTACCTCTGCCTCCCAGATTGTTGGGATTGCATGCCTGTGGCCTATACCTGGCTTGAAATTTGTATTTCTTTTCTTGTTTTTTTGAGTCAGGATCTCCCTATGTAGTTCAGGATAGCCTTGAGCTCTCTGCATAACCCAGGTTGGTCTTGAACTTGAGGCATTCTTCCTGCCTCAACCCCTTGAGTTTTAAGATTACAGGTGTGCACCACCACACCTGGTAAAATTTTAATTTTGATCAATGATAAACAGACCACCTGTGGAAAAGAAGAGTAGGCAGAGGGGACAGTTACCAAGGAAAATGACTTGAGTGTTGGCACAGAGCCTGGGAACTATGACTCCAGCCATGGGCTCTTGAATCCTGATGGTCAGATCCCTCAGCTGGGGCCCTGCCCCCTCTCTTGCCCTTTGGGCCAAGTCCTGCTCATCTGTCAGACTTGCTATAGTTGCTTCATCCTCCAGGAACCTTCAGTAAACCTATCTAGACTGGGGTGGGAAATGTCCCTTCAGTCCCCAGATCTCTTGGGGTAACAATGGCTACTCCTTGCACCCAGCTCATTTTTCTCTGCATGGTCCCTTTGCTCCTTGCTCTCCCACCCAGTCCAGGCTGCACAGAACAAGGCACCCAGTAGAAGACTGTGGCAGGGATAGGGAGAAAGGCGGGGTTGGACCCAAGGGAGGGGCAGCTCAGGGGCTCAGGTCATGTTTCTGTGTGTGCTTCAGCCTGAAGGGTATCGGTCATGTTTATTGTTGGTGACAAGGCCTGGTGCTGGCTGAGGGATGGGGCCTTTCCTGCTGTGAGAACCTGCTGACCTACTGGCCCTGTCTTTATCTCTTCCAGTGTCCGAGGGTGACTGGAGTCAAGGCACACACCAACAAAAGCAACCCGAGGCAGGTGACCCTGGACCTACAGATATGGTGAGCCTCTGTCCCTTGGGGCAGGGTGGGGCCAGGTGTGCACCTCTGGAAGAGCTGGTATGAATTCCCTCCCAGACCCACGACCCCAGCCAGGCTGGGGCACCAGGGCCTGGCTGGAGCTGGGGAAGGAGTGTTGGGAAAATGGTTGGGGGAGTGACTGGTCCCAGGGAAGCCACTGCTGTCTGACCATTGGCCCAGCCCTGGATTTTCTTACCCCATGGCAGCTGTGGATTCCAACAGCTCAGCAGCCGAACCTCCTTGGAAACCAAGGCTAGAGAGACAGACTAGCTGCCACAGAGAGGATGTGGCTAGAGGGAGAACTGTGTGACAGGAGGAAGAGGGGACTCGGGTGAGGGTTGGGTCTGTGGCACTGCAGGAAAGTAACAAGGAGCCAAGGCACATGCATGACTAATTCAGTGGGCTTGGGCAAGGGCACGTCTCTCATAAGGCCTTGAGTCAGGAAGAAGATTCCACCCAGGAGTTTTCCAGGAGATGTGAGATGGGAATTGTGCTCAACAGGACAGGATCTACTCCTCAGGGTCCAGAGCGTTGCTCTTCCCTTTCAGTGTCTCCTACTTCCTGACTTGGCCCAGTGCTGTCCTTACCTGGATTGAGAACATACTAGGGAGGCAGGAGCTAGTTCTGAGACCACTGTCCCATTCAAGAGCTGACCTCTAGTGTGTTGGGATGATGCCAGGCAAGCCTGTGCCAGTCTCAGCCACAGGTCTGTGCATGAGTAACAGGAACATGTGGAGGTACCTGGCCCGCTCAGACTCTCAACAGTGCCTGCAGTCGCTGTCTTCCCATTTACCTGCCTGCCCCACCCTTCAGAAGGGACACTCGGGCTCCTCTGCCCATGTCCTGCAGTGTGATGGCTGCCCTCTCCCTTCTCTTAGACTTCTCCTTCAGCCCTCTGACAGTCTCCTGAGCTTCATCTACCCTGTGCCTAGCAACTGCTGAGAACCACCAGTAAGGTCAGGCTTCTGTTCTTGCAGCCTGAGATCTTGTTACCCTTAGGCAAGGGCCAACCTCTAATACCCTCAGCAAAAACCTGGGGTGATGGCTGGGTCTAGGCAATGGGGGCTGCTCCTGTGTCCTCGAGGTGGATGCCTGGGCAGAGACAGAGCAGGGATGCAGCAGTGGTGGAGGGCGCAGCATAATTACCCAGAGCCCTGCCTTTTCCGCTGTGGGTATCACAGGGCAAGTGCGCTATCATGCTCTTCTGATCCCAGGTCAGACTGGCTATGCCGGGGGTGCCAGGTGCAGGATCCTGGGTGGTTGCCTCATGGCCTGAATCTGAGCAGAGCTGAAAAATGCCAAGGCTGTTGGGGTAACCACACGCTGAGTGACATAGTTCAGGCGCAGTGGCCTGCAGTGAGGACTGGGGCTCTGTGTCATACCGGGCAAGCTTCCCACCCTCTCTGAGCAGGTACACCTGCCTGTCTCTTCCCCCCTCCTATGTCAGCTACATCGGAGACTGTGAGATCAGTGTGGAGCTGCAGAAGATACATGCCGGTGTGAATGGCATCCAGGTGGGCTGGTGTCAGGGAAGGGGAAGCCAGCTTTTGCTGGGTGGGCGGTGAAGTTAGGGATGACACTGAACACAGACTGGCTACATGGCCAGAGGTCCTGCCAGGCAGCCCCAGTTGCCGCTCTGCCCATGGCCCACAGTCTGTCTTTGTTTGCAAAGTCCCCAACACTCACTGGCTGCTGGGGGTTGGAGGGGCCCAGATGTTTCTAGGCCTGTAAAACTGAGGTGAACCCAGGAGGAAGATCCATGTGGGGTTGGAAATTTCTTCTGGGTCCCTTCTGTCTGGGCCAGTGAGTTCACAGCCTATTGTGCAGTCCCACTGTGTCCAGGCTCCCGTGCACTGAGATCCCTTGGTGATGGCAGTTGGGCTGGGGTGGGTAGTCCTGACACTCAGGGAGGGTGTGGGATAGGATGAGGCAGAAATGGCCTTGGCTGAGCACAAAGGACACTGAAAGAAAGGGCCTGGGTTCCTCACATGTTCTTGTACCTGTCTAGTTGCAGGGTACCCTACGGATCATCCTGGAGCCCTTGTTGGTGGACAAGCCATTTGTGGGGGCTGTGACTCTATTCTTCCTTCAAAAGCCAGTGAGTCCCAGGTCTGGAGCAGGCCCTCTGCTCCCTGAGAGCAGGCACTGTCCATTGGGCCTCAGATGCTGTGATTGAACCCAAGAACAGACTGCCTCCGCCCACAGTGGCCTCTCTGCCTCATTATCTGGCCAGCTCTAGAAGTTAGACATAAGTTGATGACTTCCCATTATGAGGGGTCATGGGTGGCCTGAAGTGTTGCTGAGAAAAACTGCAAGCCTATTAAAAGGCTAGCCCAGCCAGGGCCACATAGGCTGGGCCCCTCCCCTCCTGGGCCTGACCCCACATTCCATCCTGAGCTCCACACTGGTCTCACAGTCTCCGATGTAGCTGACATGGGAGAGGGAGAGACAGGCAGGCCTACCTGCTCAGAGAGGGTGGGAAGCTTTGCCTCGTATGACACAGAGCCCCAGTCCTGGAGTTCCACAGCCTAGAGGCCTGAGAGTCAGACCAGTAGGTGTCCTTAGCTGTCATACTCTGAAAAGGACCTCTTCCCACTGTCCCAGCAGGGTTCACTGTTCAGGCAGGAGCGGGCATCTCAGCCCTGGGCTCCCAGCTCTTAGTAGCCTCACAGCCTCCCTCTTCCGGCAGCATCTGCAAATCAATTGGACAGGCCTGACCAACCTGCTGGATGCACCCGGAATCAAGTAAGTGCCAGGACTTCAAGGATTCAGGTATGGGGCCTTCAGGGCCCTTCTGTCAGTCAGTGCCAGGAGCTACTCTGCATGTGGGGAAGAGGGCAGGAGAGGCGAGCAGCAACAGAGGGAAAATGCTTCGTGTATCTGAAGTGGGAGCTGGGGCGGGAGGCTCACTGGGTTGTGCAGCCTCTGAGAGCAGGTATTGGCACAGCATGTGCACCTGTACACACATACATAGTATAGGCAAGAAGTGCTTTGCTCAGTGTTAGGCTGCAGGATATCCAGGCCCCTGTCCTGGGCAGGGGAAGGGGAGTGGCTCTGATCAGATGAGATGTCCTAGAGGAAGCTGAATGGGCTAGTGAGGGGTGAGCACAGCCCCAGCCAGTTCTTGGCTGTGCCACTTAGCTAATTTGTGCCTGTGGACAAGTTACTTGACCTCTCTGGGCCCCTCCTCAGTAATGGGGGAGGCTACTGCTCTGTCTAGAGGTCCCTGCAGGAGCACTCAGCTGTGTTTGTGGGGAGCATACTGAATCTGGACACATGCAAGTGTCCCCTGCATTTCAGCCCCACGCCTCCCCACCCACCCAGGCACATGGTAGGGAGCCCAGTGACCGTGATGGCTGCAAGCACAGGTGTGGGAGGAGCTGGCTGTTACAGCGGTGGCCAGTAAGGGCAGACTGCTTTCAGAGCCCGCCTTCCTGGGGCCAGGTGCTCAGAGGAGGGCTCCAGCCCCACTGGCCACCCCTCTGGGAGGGAGGACAACTGGACTGGCCAAAGGAGTGTCAGCTGTCTTGCCACATACTTGCTCAGTCACTACAGAGCTCCTCACCGATCTTGCCATTCTGAAGAGAATGAAGAGAATCTAGTGCATTCTTTATTTCAAAAAATATTTCTTGAGCATTTAATGTGTTCCAGTCCTACCTAGTCCCTGTCCCTGCCTCCCTGTAGCAGGGAAAGGGCAGCAGGTAAGCAAGACAATATCCATGTGACATGTGTAGGGGACATTTCATGTGGATGAGGCACTGTTCTCGGCACTTGTATCACCTCCTCCTCGTGTAAGAATGCTGGGAGACAGACACCGTTATTTTCACTGTCAGAGGAAACCAGGTCCAAAGGGGGGAGCGACTTGCGCAAGGCTGCAGAGTGAGGGCTGGAGGAGCTGAGATTCCACCCCAGTCCCTAGCATCTGCTCTGGGGCAGAGGGGTTCAGGGAGCGTAGGTGAGGGCTCGGCCACTTGGGGCAGGATGCCTGGGCCTGTCAGTCCGTACAGCCACCCTCACCTCCCCCCAGGCTGGAAGGGCTGAGGGTTGCCTCTAGGTGGGACCCCTGCAAAGCTGAGCTCTTGGTTCCAGCACTGAGGGCGGACGATGCAGGTGGTGTGGGGGAAGTGGTGTCACCTCTGCACAGCTGGTCATATCTTGATCCCAGTGAGGTGTCAGATGGCCTGCTGGAGGACCTCATCGCTGCCCACCTGGTGCTGCCCAACCGTGTGACTGTGCCTGTGAAAAAGGGTCTGGACGTGACCCACCTGCGCTTTCCTCTGCCGTGTGTGAGTGCCCCGCATCTGCCGCAGAGCCCTGGGCCCGTGTGGAGGGGCTGCTGGGGGGTGGGCATACTGAAATGCTCTCGGTCCTCTTAGCTCTCAGCTTGGTGGCTGCAAGCACCATGGGGTCTACCGAGAAGGATTCTTGGTTAAACCCAGGCTCGTCCATTGTGAGTGCCAGGTACTAGTGTTCCCCACGTCCTGCAGCCTGCTCTGGAGGCCCCAGGGAGAGCACATGGCCTCCCTCCAGAAAGTGCCCTGGCTATGGGCAGAGCCTGACGGGGCTGGCAGTTGGGTCCCAGGATAGGGAACGTGCCCACCTCTGCCTTTGACACCAGAGCAGGGCCTTCTGCTCACACTCGAGCTGCTGCCCACTCCTGCAGGGCCAGGCCCGGAAGGACAGGATGGCCCAGCAAGAGCACATCTGCCCTCAGCCTTCCCGCGAGTGCTCCCTGGCTTTAACCCACACTGCATGCCCAACACTCCAAAATAACAATGCAAATACCACCACCCGTGTCATAATTACCAAAGCCATTTTATCTTTAACAAACACCTGTGTGAACAAGGGATGTGTGGCATAGCACAAGGTGTGTGTGGGGTGATGGCACCCGCAGCCAGCACTGCCCACGGGATGGCACACAGATTTGGAGAAGAGGGGCTGCTAGGACTCAGTCTCCCTGCAGGATACTTCTCAGGTGACATGGCTGTTGGCACAGGAGGGACAAATAGCTGCAGGTGAATGCAGCAGCACTCTGGCTCATGAACACTTTTATTTGCAAACAGAAGTATTTGGCAAAGTTTTTTTTGTTTGCAAACTCTGCATCAGGTAACAAACGTGACTGTGGCCATCGTTCCCACACAAACACAAACATGTCCCATCTTTTCCAAATTTGTAGAACAAATTAAGGTCGTGAGCCAAGGCACCACTGTAAGCCCTTGGGGTGGCAGTTTGGAGGGGGGCTGGGCTGGAGCACTCCAACGTGGAGAGAGCCTGGGGCCTGGAGGGCTGGTGTGGCCGGGGGAGCAGCTGTGAGCCCTGAGCGGGGGCATTTTCCAGGGGGTGATCAGGGTCCACTTGCTGGAAGCTGAGGACCTGCCCCAGACGGACCACTTCCTGGGGCTTGGATGCAAGTCAGACCCCTACGCCAAGGTGAGCATTGGCTTGCAGCACTTCCGGAGCAGGACCATCTACAAGAATCTCAATCCTGCCTGGAACGAGATGTTTGAGGTGAGCCTCTCCTTGCCCCTCCAGGCTTCACTCGGGGGCTCACTGGGCACAGCTGGGAAACATGGGTATCACAGGGCATCATTGGCCAGTGAGCGAGTCCCGGAGACAGGCAGGCAGGCCCGTGCAGTTCCCGCTTCCCTACAGCTGGCTTCAGAGGCGGGCTGCTCTGCCGCCCCCAGCCCCCATTTGCAGCCTACAAGCAGCCCCTACCTTCTTTCCCCATGAGTCATCTTTGTTGGAAGCTTTCAGATCAAAGAACAAAGTCCCTCGGGCAGTTGTGCCTTACCCCTCAAACACAGGATCTGGAGTTCTTAAGTCCAACTGTGGTTTTCCTATGTGAAGGGCAGGGCCCAGAAGACCCTGCGGTTCCATGTTCTAGGGCCACCTCCTAGGTGCTCTCTCCACCCTCCCCTCCACCCATGTGTCATCCACATGCTCTGTCATCTGGTTGGAGGTAGTGAATGCAGGGTGACAGAGGCAGCTCTGTTTCCTGGCCCATGCCTTGTGTTCTGGTGTCCCATGCTGTGGGGCTAGGGAGTGTGAAGAGTAAGTGCACTCAAAGATTTACACCTGAGGGAGAGTGGGCACCAGCCACCGTGCCCTAGGCCCCCACTGCCAGGCGTATGCATGCGTTGCCTCTAATCCTGGCAGCCTGCAGGGGTGAGGCACTGCTCCCTTCTTACAGGTTGGGTTCCAGCGCATTGAGACAGCTAGAGACCTGCTAGGGTACCAAGCCGGCATTTGGCTCCCTCTGGGTCATAAGATCTGATCCAGCTGTTGTGACCTGCAAGCCAAGACATTCATCTGTCTTTCCAGTTCTTGGTGTATGAAGTCCCTGGTCAAGACTTGGAAGTGGACCTGTATGATGAGGATACTGACCGGGATGACTTTCTGGGCAGGTGAGGAGGGGTGAGGCTGGGCTGGGGCTCTGCACGAGGCCATGGGGCACAGGAACCCTGCTCACAATGCTGACCGACCTGCAACCTTCTGGTGACTCTGACATGGCGACTGCACCCAGACATCCTGCCCCACCATGCCACAAACCCTCCCACATGTGTCTTGAGCCCCATCTCTGATGTAGGCTGTTGGAGTACAGAGAGGACCCCAAGATCTGTGCTTCACTTTTCCCCCAGAAACCTCTTGGAGCAGGGAGAGAGGCTGGCATGGATAGCCACGTGCTCGATCCCAGGGAAGCCTGGCCCTCAAGGATATGGAAAGATTGGAGTGGCTGGGGTAGGGCTGGCTAGCATAGCCTCAGAGTCATGTGTCTAAAAAGTCCCACTTCCAGGATCCTATAGAATAAGAACACGAGTATTTAAAATGCTTATTGTAGTATCTATGGTAGTAAAACAAACCTCCTCCCCACCCCAGAGACATGGCCAGCTGCGGAGGGCCAGCAGATTGTTTGAATACCCTTGCCACTGCCAAGTTAACAGAAAATTCTGCAGCTTTCAAAACTAGTAGCATCTGTGTGTACTAGTGGGAGGCCACCTGGGGTGCATTAGTAGGTGGGGAGCACTGTGCAGTCCTCATTTTCCCAGGAGAGGTTCCCAAGTGTGCATGGTCACCTGTGTCCATGCGCAGAAGAAGCATCACAACAGGTGTCGGCACCCTCGCCTCGGGCAGGGGTGCTAAATCTATGTGCCCTGTACTGTTGCACTTGTTTTTGTGCATATGTAACATAAAAAGAAACAGTGGGAGAGATGCACTCTAACAGCTGAAGAAAGTTTGCCACCAGGTCTTAGCACTTTTATCTTCATCTTTTTGTTTGTTTGTTTTTGGAACTGGGGATTGAATCCAGCCCTTGCGCTTACTAGACAAGCGTTTATTCTACCGAACTATCTCCCCTGCCCCTATCTTCATCTTAATGAAAATTAAGTTGCAATTTTTAGCGTGTGCAGGTTAGAATTTTAGTTTGTGGCCCATGCCTTGTGTTCTGGTGCCGAGCTCAAGCACCTTTCAGAACTGCACAGAAGTGACGTGCTTTCTTCTGGCTGTCAGGACTTGCTGGTGGGCTTTGGTTCAGGGTGGTCTGAGGGATGGGATATGGGAGTGACCACCTCTCACATACATGCCACCTGCACTTAGCACTCTGAATCAAATGGGGCAGTTCATCTGTTAAAATGACTGCAGGAGGTGGTGCTACAGCATTCAAAGGGCACAGGGCTGGGAAGCCAAATTCCTGCAGTGCACGAGCAATTTTGCACAATGAAGGATAATCCCACCCCAAATAGCGGCAGCACTGCTGCTGAGCAGTCCAGAGGCACGCGCGCAGCATCCTGTGCTCCTGTCTGGGCCTGGTAGCCATCTGCCTCAGGGGATCCCATGCCCAGTGCCTAGTGGATCAGCCTAGATGGCCAGCTGATTGTTTATCTGAACTACAGTTGGTTTTCTGTTGGCTTTTTGGGTTATAGAAAATCCAGTCTTACTAGCCCCACTCAGGTACTTGAAAAGGGTCTCCAGGACCTGTGGATTGCTCCCTCTGAGTTGTGCTGACCGTCTCTCCCTGTGTCTTCTAGCCTGCAGATCTGCCTCGGGGATGTCATGACGAATAGAGTGGTGGATGAGGTAGACCTGGTGCCCATACCCCTGGGGGTTCTCGGTGTGGCTCCCTTCCTGCAGACAGCTCTAGCAGGGTGCTTCCACCAAGCCAGTCCTATGAGATGGGCCCCTTCTGGACTGCACACGTGCCCATCCCCAGGGATAACCTGAGTGAGACACAGATCAGTCCAGGGATTTCCTGCCCCCACCCCCAAGCCCAAGGAGTAAGGACGCCCAGCAGGGGGCAGTCACATCACAGGGGAGGGCAAGTTGAGCCAGCATTTTCTATCCCGAAGTATAGTACTTCTGCCCTCCTATGGCCGTCTCTGCCAGTCCTGCTGAGCCCATGCTGTACCGTCTGGGTTGGTGTATATTTTCCCTGAAGCCCATTAGGTCCGCCAGGTCCCAGAAGTGACTGACTCCAAAAGGCTTTACAGCATGTCCCTGTCTATGTCCTGCAGCTTTTTCTCTTCCTCCTCTTCCCAGTGGTTTGTCCTGAATGACACAACTAGCGGACGGCTGCACCTGCGGCTGGAGTGGCTCTCACTGCTCACTGACCAGGACGCACTGACGGAGGTGAGCGCCAGGGGCTCCCTAGCAGAAGAGGGTGCAGTGTGCTGGTGCAGTGTGTGCGAGGGGAAGAAGGGAAAGGGATGAAGGCCTCGCTTCTTGCTCATCTCCTAGACAGCGTCACTCACCCTCCTTTCTCCACTCAGGGCAGCCCCAGGGTACCTCAGCAACAGCCTCTGAGCATCTCCATCATTTTCAGGAAGAATGAGGTCCTTAAGAGTTCTTGGGTCCATGCCTGCCATGCTAGGTCACAGGAAATGTACTAAGTTCAGTTATTTTCTTAGCTGCAGCACAGGTCTCAGTAAGGGAGAACTATAGCTAGGCTGGAGTGTGAGGGCTGGCTTCCTCCTGCCATGATAGGCTTCTCTAAACCAGTCTGTTTCTCTTGCTGCTGGGCCACTCAGTGAGAGCTTGTGTCTGTTTTCAGGACCATGGTGGTCTTTCTACTGCCATCCTTGTGGTCTTCTTGGAGAATGCCTGCAACCTGCCGGTGAGTGGTGACATGTTCAGAGTGTCACACACATAGTATATATCATTTTCAAATTTCTAAGGTGTTGATTTAACCCTGATTCTTGTGCTACAGAGAAGCCCTTTTGACTACTTGAATGGTGAATATCGAGCCAAAAAACTCTCCAGATTTGCCAAGGTAAGCATGAATGGGCCAAACTCAAAGGACAAAGCACCCATTTCCTCCAAGTACCATGGGATAATAGGGGGTGCAGGTGCCCTTCATTGTCTCCTGTGGCCCAGCACTGGCTTGGAAGCTCCTCCCCATTCATTATCCTGATGACTATAGTCAGTTTTTATTGCCAATTTATATACTCAGATTATCCAGAAAATTATGTGCCTGGGTCTCACAATGAGGAGCTGAAATTTGACTCTACTCTGTTGGTTTCCATAGCCCCAGGGAAAGATCCTGCTCCCAGCCAAGCCAGGCTCTGGCCTAGGCCTCTGATTTGTAGCTTAGAGCCTCTTCCTGGAGTCAGTACAGTCCTGCAATAATTGTATAATTATGGCCTAGAAAGCCAGGGAGTCTTCTCTAAGGGAGGCAGTTGCCATCCCAAGTGCCACTGATGGTTGATGTGGGGGTGGAGGTGGGACCTCTAGCAGACCCTGATGGCACCATCTTCAATACTGTGGGGTTTTCTGCTTCACAGAATAAGGGTAGCAGAGACCCTTCTTCCTATGTCAAGTTATCTGTAGGCAAGACGACATACACGAGTAAGGTAAGTTTGGAATACAGGCCTGGGACAAGGAAATGAGCAAAAGGGAAGGAAATTGATTTACACTGAACACCTAGTAGGCACCTTATTTTAGTAGGCCTCACAATAACTTCACAAAGTAGTTTTATAGTTCGAGCTCTGAGGATCAGAGACACTAAGTGACTTGCCCCAGAGCAGTCCTGCAAAGCAGTAGAGTTGGGGTTTAAGCTTAACCATGATTCTAGAGCCCGTCTCTTTTTCCACCACACCATGAAGCCCCCAGTCCAGCCACACACAGCCTGTTGGCTCCACTCCACCACCGTGAGCTCTCACCACAGTACATTTTTTTAGGTCCCAGTAAAACTTCTGGTAAAGCCCTCCTTGCCTCCTGTCCTCATGCGTCCCTTGGCTGGAGTGTGTAGGTCTGACCCCTGGGTGCAGGTAAGGTTCCCATTGGTGCACAGTGGCCAGACCGATGAACCTGACCTCTCTTGTTCTCAGACCTGTCCCCACAGCAAGGACCCTGTGTGGAGCCAGGTGTTTTCCTTTTTTGTGCACAACGTGGCAGCTGAGCAGCTCCACCTCAAGGTTTGTACCTGGGGTCTCAGGACGGAGTTGGGAGGGCTTCTAAGCCATGAGTAGGTGCCAGCAGTATTTAGTGAGCCACTGGTGTGTGGGAGAGGGCACAGAGGCCCCAAAAGGCCACATCTCCTTGAGGCTCGTGCCCAAGGTCATTGTATAGGAGGCTTTGGGAAGACAGCCCCCCCACCCCCAAGTACCTTGGCTGTAGCTGCAAAGGGATTTTATAGTTGTTCCACAGAACCCAGTGTGGCCTATGTTGTTGTCTGTGAAGCGTGTTACAATGGAATATTTTTCATTTAATCTTCATTAAAAAATCTATTGCAAGAAATTAGCTCCTTTTATATATAAGCAAATAGATGCTAAATCAGTGATTTGCCCAAGATTTCATGACCAGGAAGTGGTGAAGCTGGGATCCTTTGGGGTCCTGAGTTGTACCTGGATGTCTCATGAAGCAGCACAGCTCACTGGTCCCTAAAGCCCCTGTGGCCCTGGGCATTTGCCTGACTGGCTCCAGAACAACCATATTCACCTCTGTTCTGTGTCATTCACTTGCCCTGACCGTAGGCAGAGGCCAGGTCTAGCCTAGCCCCATTCCCGTTTCCAGAAAAGAACTACATCCTCCTCAATATGGATTGAAGTAAGCCCAGACTGGCTGGGGCCCAGAGGGTAGTGGTGGGACAGGTAGAGTTTACCATCCTCTAATTTTGTGACTGGCTGGCCCACTGCCCAGGTGCTAGATGACGACCAGGAGTGTGCTCTGGGAGTGCTGGAGTTCCCCCTGTGCCAGATCCTGCCCAGTGCGGACCTCACCCTGGAGCAGCGCTTTCAGCTGGACCACTCAGGCCTGGACAGCCTCATTTCCATGAGGCTGGTGCTGCGGGTAAATCCTCCTTGTCCTCTAGGGACCAGGAAGTGTGCAGTTCTGGCTATGGAGCAAGATGAACTATCCCAGAAGCTCTAGACAAGCCGTTTTCATCAGCTTAGGAATGCTGCCTTCTCCCATCTCTAAGCTCTCACTGTAGAGCTCCTAAACTGGGCCAGATTCTCAGCTTCTTTCCCGTTTCCCATTTATTTCCTCAGCACTTTTTCATAGAGATGGCACCTTCATGGATCTCAGTGTAACTCCTACACTGACTCAAAAATAGCTTCACTTTTATTTTTCAGTTTTCTCTTTTTAAAAAGAATTATTTTTTGCTAATTTGGTTGTATATTTAAAAAGATGCTCACTTCATTTTGACATAAAAGATCTTTTAGGATACTTAGATTAGCGTGTTTCTGTAAATGAAATTCCCTGGTGACTGATGACTGAGGGAAAAAGGAAAGCAGCACAGTGGTGGGGCTTGTGGAAGTGGTGGGCCTGGTCTATAAACTACCCTGTCTTCTGCTTCCAGTTTTTGCGCATAGAGGACCGAGAGCTGGGGAGTCCGTATACAGGACCTGAAGTCCTAAAGAAAGGCCCTCTGTTCATCAAGAAGGTGGCTACCGACCATAGCCCCCAAGCCCCACACCAGGGAGAAGGCCCTGCAGACTTGCTGTGTCCTCCAGACCCCGTCACTGACACCATGGATGCTTCCAAGAGCACCCTACCCACCACCACTGCTGCCAACCCTGTAACCCAAGAGACCGAACCAGAGCCCAAAGGCAAGGACAGTGCCAAAGGGTTCTGTGAGCCCATGGGGAAGAAGAAGAGCTCAGCCACCATCTTCCTGACTGTCCCAGGCCCCCATTCTCCAGGGCCCATCAAGTCACCTAGACCCATCAAGCCCCCTGCCTCCCCATTTGCATGGCCGCCCAAGGGTCTGGTTCCCAGCATGTCCTCGCTCAACTCTCTGGCCTCCTCCTGCTTTGACCTGACAGATATCACCTTCAACACTGAGTATGCACCCCTCTGCTTAATCTTTTCTAATATCACCCGATAAAAAATGTTTCCCTGGATGGAATGGTAGATATGAACTTAAACATCTGTAGAAGATCTGGATTTCCACAGAATACTGTATCTTTATGACAGGCAACATAATGTGGTAGGAAATACAAGACAAGTAAGAGAGCCAGTCTGTCTGCTTATGGCTCTGGCTACGTATAACTATAAAACAAAGGCTGGGCTGCAGTTCATGTCCTTTCTAGCAGAAACATTTCCTGAATTCTAAAGCACTATGGTATAATTGTATGAAAAGCTTAAGACATGGAATTATGTAACAAGTAGCTGCCATTTATTATTTACTATAGACTTAAGATTTTATGTGATTTAATTCAGTCTTCACCATAACCCCAAGAGAGAACTTAATATAAAAATCTGACCCAAAGCCCTACAAGAATCTGTGATACAAAGGCAGATCCATTTTGGGATTCATGTTCTTCCTGCCACAAAGTAGGATAGCTATTTGATGCTGGGTGGACCCAACTTCCAACTAACTGAAAGGAACTTAGTAAGAACCCACATGGTCCTATGAAGTAGGACATAATTGTTTTGAGGGGAAGTTGTCAACACTTGTTATGACGAAAGGTGACAAGCTCTTTCTTCACAGAGTCGGCAACTGCAGACAGCGAGGGCTTGGTGAGATCCAGCTCACAGTGCGCTACGTGTGTCTGTGGCGCTGCCTCAGGGTGCTGGTCAATGGCTGCAGGTAAAGGGATTCTGGGACAGTTTTGTTTTTTTTTGTTTTTGGCTGGCTCAGGATGCCTTCAGGGCAGGTCTGGTAAGGCTTGAGGTTCTGGGGATCGAACCACAGCATCCTGAGCCTGACTGCTTTGTTTAAGCAGGCACTTAAACAACTGAGCTAATGGGCAGGCCCCCATGGGACAGTTTTTTGGGAAGCATCAGGTGACCATAAATCAAAGTTTGGGCATTTGGATCAATAGCGAAGGCATGTAATAGACCTGAGGTAGTAAGGTATTGGGAAGAAATAAGACTTGAAGGCCCATTTGCCCTGAGTGGTGACTCACTGATGGTGGTGATGGGCTCGGGAGCCAAGGGCTGTGTTAAGACAACCACTGCAGGGCTGGTGAGATGGCTCAGTGGTCTAAAGCACCTACTTAGAACAAGCTTAGCAAAGCACAGGGACCGCAGTTCAATCCCCCAGCACCACATGCCAGCCAGCCCCACCCCCTGGTGGGCTGAGCTGGCCACACACACACAAATAAATAAAAATTAAAAAAAAAAAATTAAGACAACCATTGCAAAACTGTCTTGGCTAAAGCTAAGAGAAATTCCCAAGCAGAAACACCTTAGATGGAAAGTACTCGGTCTACCTCAACCCAGATAAACATATTTTCAAAATTATACATCTGATACTTTGTCCTCTAAATTGTGGGGACTTTCATGTTTTGTTTATATAGACCACAAAAGGTATTTATTGTCAGGCTCATCGAAAGGCAGATGTTTAGCTGTCTTCCAAATGACTATTTTCAATGTTTGAAACCCAAGAGGCCTTTTCTCCCCACAAATTAGAAATCTGACACCATGTAGCAGCAGTGGAGCTGATCCCTATGTCCGCATCTACTTGTTGCCAGAAAGGAGGTGGGCAAGTCGTAAGAAGACCTCAGTGAAGCGCAAGACCCTGGAGCCCCTGTTTGATGAGACGTAAGTGGGCTGTGTGTCTACTTAGAGTGCAGTCCATTCAAGCAGCTGCTGAGTACTGCATTGGTGCCCGGCCAGCTACCAGGGCTGTTCACCATGGTCGAACTTAATGAAGCCTCTATATACTTTTAAATGGGAGAAAAGGGCTACCAGGGCAGTTCATCAAAAAGGCTACCCACATTAACAGCCATTGAGACCAAAGTGTTCCTGATTATGGAATGTTCTATACTTGTTCTCTTTAAATATTTTTTGGCAGCAACAGGATTTCAATTTGATCAAAATTTGTTTTCTGGAGGATCTGTTGTTAACAGAACCTAAGGACCTAAAATTTCCTCCAAGGCTCAAAACTTTTGGCCCTCCTGCAACATAAGAGGCAGGTGAGACCAGTTATTTCTCTTCTCCACCCATGTCCTTAGGAATAAAACTGGTTGGCAGATTCTAGTCACATGGCAAGTTTTATTTGAAATATTTTCAGTCTTGATAAACTACAAGCTGCTGAAGTAAGAATTTCATGGTTACTTCCTACTGTTTCAGAATCCTAAGATAATCTATTTTAGCCATCTGAGGAAGATGGCACACCTTCTAATTTTGGTCAATACTTTAATAGAGTTGTAGCTGATTTCTTTTTGACCATGTCTAAGAACTACTATGTTGTTTCAAGAGCTATACGTTGAGTATGTTAATGAAGGCTGTCAGGAAAAGAATTTACCATACTTTATGCTAGGCACCACTGTATAGTCTAGAGCCATACAAGAGACTTTGACCCCAAAGACAGCTCTATGCTATGTAGGATTGAAGGGATAGGTTTAACATTTGATTTTTAAGACAATCCGTTAGTTTCTCAATTCTTGCAAAAGAATCTGGAAGACAGACTTGTCCACCTCCACCTCAAAAATAAACCCAGATAGAAGGGCTCCAGCTTCTCTCATGAATATATGACAAGGATTTTGCTGCCTACTCCCCAGGAGGTGGCTGCTATTTGTCGAGGTACTTTTCAGAAAGGCTGTTCATAGTCCCAGGGTTCATGAACAACACAGGACAGTAATTATCTATAATCAATGCACTAAGGTACTCAATTGATTAACTGTCAGCCAGTACTATTCTAGATGCTCATCTGGGGCTCCAGTGGGGTAGTAGTAGATAAAACATTTTAAAATTTCAACCACAATAACTGAAATATGTAAATTTCTTGAACTTTTTGCTTCTTAAAGATTTGAATTTTTTGTTCCCATGGAAGAAGTAAAGAAGAGGTCACTAGATGTTGCAGTCAAAAATAGGAGGCCACTTGGCTCACACAGAAGGAAGGAGTTAGGAAAAGTAAGTATACAAGACACAGACTATTTGTATCCTGGTGGTAGAATACATCGTTACACAAATTCTGAAAAAAATAATTACATTTAGTACTAGAACCTACTTCAAAATTTAAAAACCTTTCTGTTTTCATATTTTTTAAAGAATACAGAAATGTAAATTAATATGATAAACTTTTAACTCAATCCAAGTTTTTAACATTCCACATGTATTTGAACAACCTAGCATGGTACTAACTTCCAGGAATATGCCGGGAGGACCCACCCAAAAATGTATTTGTGTAGGACTTCGTACCTGTTGTATTTTACAAGCA